AAATCATTTTCAATGATTATGGATCTTTTATTGAACACTTGATAAACTTTAAAATTACCTTAATTAGATTTAACATCAAACCTTCATAATATATCTTTGTTATTCAGAATAAAATATATCACAGTAAAAAAATAAAATATAAATAATTAGGTTTTTATATTTTTTATTACTCATAAAATTTTTTTAGTAGATAAGATTTTATAAGGATCCTCTTTATGACATGACATGTCATGTTAATGATCAATCAATCAATCAAAAAATATTTAGGTATATTATGTTCATTAAGAATGTTTCTTATCATCTCTTGTAAACTCATATTTTTTTTCTTCTAACAATATTATTTTATTATAGATTTTTTGCATAAAAAAGTTATTGTTATACTTATTTAAATCATAAAATTATTAAAAAAATCATGATTTTAAGATTAACCCCACGGTCACTTCAAATCGAGATAAAGGATGACAACACATGTAGCGAAATTAGATTAATTTTGATGATGTGGTATAGACTACTCCATTATATGCACTGAAGTAATTTATAATCGAGATTGATGTTATGTTTGGTAACTCATTTTTTATCTTATATAAAAGTGATAGACGTATCAAAATTAGATTGATTTTGTTGATGTGGTATAGGCTACTCATATATGCACTAAAGTGATTTTTAATTGACTTTGATGGTAAGTCTTTTAACTCCTTTCCTATCTTATATAAAAATGATAATCTCATATAAATCAAGATAAAGGATATGAACATGTGCATCGGATTGATCTTGATGATGTAGTATACACTACTCTATTATATGTACTATAGTGATAGACTCATGGAGGTATAAATGGAGATAGAGGATGACAATATGTGCATCAAAATTAGATTGATTTTAAAGATGTATTATATGCTAATCCATTATATACACTAAAGTAATCCATTATATACACAAGAGAAGAGGATGACAACATGTGAATAGAGATTAGATTAATTTAATGATATGATATCTGCTACTCCATTATATGTATTGAAGTAATTTAAGTGATTCATCGGCAGAGAGGAGTTATAATCTCTTTCGCATCCTGCATATTTATTGTTGATAATAAATCTTGAATATACTTTCTTTGTGATAGGAAGAGACCTGAAGATGTAAATGTTGCTTCCACTTTCAGAAAGTAGCTTAAAGTTCCTAGATCTTTGATGGAGAATCGATCGACCAAGTATTTTAGAAATGCCTGAATCTTCAAAGGATCATTTCCTGTGATAATAATATCATCCACATATACTAAAAGATATATTGTACTTGTATTGTGTTGGTAAATGAATAACGAGGTATCAGACTTGGAATTGATGAAGCCAATTGAGGTAAAAAACAAGCCAAGCTCTGTATACCAAGCCCTTGGAGCTTGACGAAGTCCATAAATAGCTTTTTGAAGTTTGCAGACATGCCTCAAATACTGAGGATGAACGAAACCAGGAGGTTGTTGTATAAAGACATCTTCAGTAAGTGACCCTTGTAAAAAGGTATTGTTAACATCCAATTGTCATATGTGCCAGCCCTTTGAGATGACCAAACTCAAGATAAGATAGATTGTTATGAGTTTAACAATGGGACTAAATGTTTCTATGAAGTCGACACCAGGTTGTTGATGAAACCCTTTGGCGACTAGACGTGCTTTATATCTAGCAACGGATCCGTCTGGGTTCCTCTTAATTCTAAAGACTCATTTACACCCGATGATATTTTGTGTATGATGAAAGGGTACTAAGATCCATGTAGAGTTATGGAGGAGAGCATCATATTCGTCACATATGACTTTACGCTAGTGAAAAGATTTTTGAGCTTGAGTGAATGTAGTGGGTTCACTGGCCTCAGTGGAGGAACTTGTTATAGCATGTAAGTCAAGGACTTGACGTGGTTTGAAAATATCACTTTTGGAGCGTGTTGTCATTGGATGTCTAAGAGGGATGGAAGTGGTAGATTATGTTGGTGGTATAGCCAAGGGCGAGTCACTATCATGGACCGGGCCAACCGTCGACACGATAATGTCACTAGGTCTAGGAGAACGTAAAGCCAGTGGCAATGTTGCCGAGGGTATTACTTCATTAATATGAGAAACTTGTGAGGAAGGGAGTAGAGAAATATAGGGAGTGAGAATCTGTTGAACCGGAGTAAAGGTAGCATGCGGATCTTGAGGGTAAGGACTGGACGGTGTCATTGGAAGTTCGTGTGATGAGATCGAAGGGATATTCCAGTGATGTATGTTTATCAGAGTAGCCTACATAGTAGGATTGTTTTGAAAAGGAAAGACAGACTCCTCAAAAATAACATGACGTGATATAAAGACTTTTTTAATTTGGGGTTCATAGCATCGAAAAGCATTATGTTCAAGAGAGTAGCCTATAAAAGTGGAAGGCTTAGATCGTGGTGTTAGCTTATGTAAGATATAGGGACGGAGCCATGAATAATATAAACAACCAAAAACTTTGAGTTTATGAATTTTTAGAAGCATGTGGAATAATTTTTCAAATGGTGACTGATATTGTAAGACTGGAGTGAGCATACGATTAATATGATAAACTGCAGTTTGAAAAGCTACTGACCAAAAAGGTGGTGGCATGGATGCTTGATGTAGAAGGGAGAGACCAGTTTCAACGATATGCCGATGTTTGCATTCGGCAGAGCCAACCAATTGGGGAGTATGTGGGGGTAACTTGAGGTGTTGTATACTACGTAAAGAGACAGGATGTGAGGGCTTAATATTCGCCTCCGCCATCAGAGTAAACTGTTTTAATAGAAGATTGAAAAAAATTCTCGACCAACTTTCGAAAGTTGGTAAATACTGTGGAAACATCAGACATATGGTGGAGAGGATATAACCATATGTACTTAGTAAAATAGTATACAAAAATGACATAAAAGCGAAACTTGTCAAAAGAAGGAATTGGGGCAGGGCCCCACACATCGGTCTAAATGATTTCAAATGATTTAGAGCAAGATATGGAGGTTGTCCCAAAAGGTAGTTTATGACTTTTATTGTAAAGACAAGCATCGTAATGATTGACGGTGCTATTGATTTTCAATGTAGGAAGAGAATAACGAGAAAGTAATTTTTACTGGATAAAAGGGGAGAGATGACCAAGACGACGATACCATACATCAACCAGAGCTGCGACTGAAGAGTGAGCAGTAGGAAGGGTAATTTACGAAGCGGATGACCACTCATAAATGTTATCTTTATTCTGGTCCTAGACGAAAGATGCCCTCGTGCTTAATTCCTTGACAAGAAAAAACTTAGGAAAGAATTCAATTGAGGTATTATTTTGTTTACAGAATTGAAAAACGGAAATGAGATTTCTTTTAATGTGAGGTGCACATAGAACATCATCGAGTGTAAAAGTTATGGTAATTGAACTAAGCGTTGAGGAACCAGAATGAGTAATAGGAATTCTTTTACTGTCACCGATGATGATATCTTCATTCTCGTCATAGTTGTTGTGGATGGACAAGTTTTGAAGATCAGAGGTGATGTGATGAGAGGCGCCCAAGTCCATAATCCAATTAGGTTGGGTAGGAATTGGAGTAACTATGAAATTCACCTGAGGCCACTGTGATGGAGCAGGGAGTCTGGGGCGAGACCGATAGACTTTTGTGGAGTGTTCGACTTTATCACATAGTTGGCAAACGACTCGTTGGTGTCTTGTGAAGTCATGACATGATGGCTGAGGATTATGAAAGTTACCACCTTGATATGGATAAGGGGGTTTTGGTCTGGGCCCCATAGAGCTAGAAGGCAGCTTAGCCAGATCGTTGTTGATGTGCTTATTGTACTGGTTGCTCTTCCTCTTGGATTTTTGATTGACCTGAGCTGTAATAGGTAATCCAGGCAACCTATTATCACGCTTCAAGTACGTCTCATAGTCGATCAACTTATCATAAAGTTCTTCGAATGATATTGGTGAGTCGCATACCTGAAGTACTGTTGTCAGTTCTTTGTACTCGTCTCCTAGGCCATTGAGGGTATGGATTAAGACTTCTTCATCACTGAGAGAATGATCTATCAAAGCTAAGTCATCGATGATAACTTTGATATTTTGTAGATAATCAATAATAGTACTTCCCTCTTGTTTCATTTTCATCAGATTGGAGAGAAGTCCGAGCATACGAGTACACGAGCAATTTACCGAAGTTGTTTATAACTTGCACCATGCTTCTGCAGCAATCGTACATGAGGATATCAACGGGGCAATGGATCTAGCAACGGAAGCTTGAATAGCTTGGAGGATGAGGCGATCTTAATGTAACCATAGTTTGTGGGTTGGATTTGGCACTGGACTGGGTTCGCCTGGGATGTTGATCATTTCAGGTGGACACTGGAGAGAGCCATCAATGTAACCTAGGAGATCATAGCCAAATAGAAGATTAGAAAGTTGTGCCCGCCAAGATGCATAGTTGCCGCCTTTAGATAATTTGAAAGGAATGAGTGCTGCAGCATTGATGGTGATAAGACTTTGAGAAGTGCTCAGAGTCCCTACAGAAGAGGCTGCAGCGATGCACTGCAGAGGAGGCAGTAGGAGGTTGCAGCGATGGGCGAGGAAGCTACAAAGAAGGCTACAACGATGCACTGTAGAGGAAGCTGCAGCAATGAGGCTGCAGCGATGCACTGCAAAGGAGGCTGCAGTGATGCACTACAGAAGAGGCTACATCAATGGGCTAGGAAGCTGCAGCGATAAGCGAGAAATCTGCAGCGATTAGGTGAAAAAAAAAATCTGTAGCAATTACAACTGCTGAAGCTTGCTATGGCACTAAAGATTATTGTGGCAGAGAAATTGCTGCAGTAGAGGGAAGCAGCTGCAGATGGAAGCTATAAAAACTACAATTGTTCCTGTTACCGCCGGAAGGCAGTGATGGCTATGGCGGGAGGTGACTGCTCTGTTGCTTTGGATTAATGTTGCCGAGGTGCGCCGAGGTAGAGGAAATGACAGGCGGCTGCCAGCTAAGGTAGGAGAACACTACGAAATAGGGTAAGCAATGTCGACGTCGAGCACCTCGACGAGGTTGTGCAACAAGGATAGCGACAGCAGTACTTCTCGCTCAAGTGAGATGTGGGAATGAGGAGGAGAGATCGCTGGCCAGGGAGCAGTTGCGAGGACGACGACCACCATGGTAGTGTAGGCGAGGTTCTTGTGAGGGCAGGAGGTGGCCGAGCAGTCTCCGACTCCGAAATAGGAAGTAGCGGCGCCAGAGGAGAGGTAAGCAGCAGCACTACCCTTTCCAACTGAATAGAAAAGAGGAGCAGTAGAAGGCTTCGGCAGAGCTACCTACATCCGCAAGGAAGAAGGCTCTGATACCATGTAAAGAATTAAACAAAGAAGATATAAATTGTAGAAGAAACTATGAAATGCATAAGAAGTAAATGCCTAATTCATTTAGATAGTGAACTTTTGATAGCTATTTATACACATTCAATAGGGAGGATTTTTCTCAACTGCTTAGAGATTTCCTCAAATGCCTTGAGGAAATCTTATCTGCTTATCAATATGCACTAACATGACTTTTGTTCAAGATTAATGTGATAGAGTATGATAGTATATATATCAAAAGTAGATTGATTTTAACGATATAATAAGTAGCACTCCATTATATGAATTGAAGTGATAGACTTGGAGATACAAGTTGAGATAGATGATGATAATAAATGTATTGAAATTAGATTAATTTTGATGATGTGATACACACTACTCTATTATGTGCACTAGAATGATTTTTAATTAAGATTGATGTGATAGAAGATGATCGAAATTAAATTGATTTTGACAATGTAATATATATACATTACTCATTATATGCACTAAAGTGATTTTTGGAGCAGAGTTGTTATCAAACTCCCTTAAATCATCAAAATTATAAAAATTATGACTTTTAACTTCACCTTTTCTTGAAAAGATCATAAAATATTTTATATTTTAAATATTTTAAAAATTTTATAAATTATTTAAAATAATTATTTTTATATACCAAGAAGTATATTCAAAGTATAGGCTCTCACTTGCTATTTTCTCCCTACTATTATTCTAGCTTTTGCCCGTACTCTTATCTCTCTCAAACCTTTTTTGTCCTTATCCTTGTAATCCGAAATAATTTTTACTTTAATCTCTCTGTATTCAAAAGGAACTATCGTGCTCGACCACCCCACCAACCTTCATGGCATTATAGAGGATGACAACACCTATTGAAATTAGATTGATTTTGACGATATGATATACATTACTCTATTATATGTACCAAACTACATTAATATCCATTAGTATATCTGTTGATTCCTTTCATTTCTCACACGGAAGTGAATTTATTGTTCTAAAACATTTTAGGTTGCTTGTTCTTCCTTGTATTTGAAGTTGCTTAACACTCCTTTTTTTTTATATTTGATATCCCTATTTACTTGATTCTCTCTTGAAGTAACACTTTTAAGTGTTTTGAATGGTCAATATGTTAGTTATTAGGGACTAAATTAATATTATTTTAAACTTTAAAATTTTTTAATTTTTTTTATTAAGAAGAGAGACAAATATGAAAAAACTTATTCAACCAAGAAATCGATGCAGATAATAGCATAAGTAAATATAAAATAATAAATTAATTTATAATAGTTCGATCATCCTAATCTACATCCGCTCACGATTCCTTTTGACATCAAAATATAATAAATTGTATATCATATGTCTATTAATTTTCATATCTAATTTAATAGATATGGTCATTATTATATTGATAGACTTAATATTAACTATGTTGAATATGATCAAAAGTATATTTAGTTGGACTAATAAAAATTATATCATTTAATTATTTGATTTGTATAATGAGAAAAAAATTTAAATTTTGACTTATTCTCTTAACAAAATATTCATATAAAGCTCATTGTAAAACAAAAAAAATAATATCATTAAAATAAATTTAAATAATAAAAATATCATCATTAAAATACTTAATAAATAATATGGTATGAATCTTATCTTTAAAAAAATTATCTTGAATCATTATATACTCATTTTCTTTTATTATTTTATATTGTTTCAGTTTAAACATCTGCCAATATAAGAAGAAAAAAGTAATTGTATCATTTTGCTTATAATATATAAAAAGTATGCATGCATCCTTTTATGAGGAGATTTAGCAATATCTAACAACAAGATGGAGTATATTACGGCACCACCCACTACGTATCGTCACATCTGTGGCTGCCTGTTCGAGTCGGCCACCACCGGAACCCTGCCGCCGCGCGGCACACGCCGGCGGTGCCTCCGAAACCTCAACCGCCCCGTCTCCCCGAACCTCTTCTTCTCCGTCTCCACGATGTCGCACTCCGGGAACGGCGCCGGGTACCGCACTCGGTCGTAGCAGACGGAGTAGCTCATGTACTGCCTCCGGAAGGCGCGCATGGCCCGCCGCTTCTCCGGGGTCATGACTGCTAGGCCGGTGGCCGCAATCTCAGCCGCCGCCGCGGGGCAGCCGCTCCGGGTCGTCGGCACCTGCTGGATCGGGTCTAAGCGGCAGCCGAGGAGGGTGAGGTCGGCGAACGACGACACGAACGGGGCGTACTTGTAGTTGACCTTGTACCTGCCACCGGAGGTGGCCCAGTTTGACGCGTCCCAGATGGTGGCGTACAGCGACATGGGCTTCGACGGGTAGTCGCCGCCCATGGCCTCGGACCGCCGCACCTCGCGGATAGGGGTGTCGTCGACGTAGAAGCTGGAGAAAGAGTGAGAGGGAGATTAAGGAGTAGCATTACTGCATGATACACTGTTGTCGAAACAGAGGAGGGGCGTACATGATGTTGTCAGCAGTCCAGAGGATGGAGTAGCGGTGGAAGTCGGCGGTGGGATCGAAGGGGAGATAGTAGCGCTCCTCCCTTCCGCGGCTGGTGCTCCCATTGCCGTACACGTTGGTCTGCACCCTCCACTCTTTGCCGCGGATGTTCCCCAAGAACTCGAAGTCGAGCTCGTCGTGGCTCTTCTCGAACACGTCCCCGTTCGACGTCTGCATATGACCACAGCGGAGACGTCCACGTCAAGGGTCTAAAGCCAAGCGCATGCAGGTGCAATGTCTTACGTAGAAGGCGACCACCACTCCCGCCGTGTAATCCGATGGCAGCTTGATGGAGGCGCTGAAGAGTCCATGGTGATACATATCCGACGATATAAATCCCGATCCTGACACAAATAAGATCGAATCAAAGCCTGCACAGCTTGCCGTATAGGAGGAGGGGGGAGTTCACCGGAGTAACGGTCGAGGAGGAGGCTGACGCTCCTGCCGTCCGCGGACCGCACGAGGTTGCCTTTGCCGAAGAGCGGGGCGTATCCATCGTCGAACGCCAGGGTCGTCACGTTGACGGATGTAGCCGCGACCACGGCCGTCGAGACCAGGACGACAACGGCGACAGCGGCGGACAATGACGGCCGCGTTCCGCCATCCATCTCTCTTCTCTCTCTTTCTTCGCTGTTCGCTCGTTCCTTCCTTCTCTCCTAGCGGCGACGGAAAAAGGGGAGAGAGGACCGAAGGGTTCTTTGTGGAAGAAACGAGAGGAACACAATCTTTCTCCTCTGTGTTCGAGATCGAGGAAGCAACGAAGTGGGCAGGAATGAGGACCGGAAGAGGAGGAGATGGTGTTCTTGTTGAAGTGTTGGTGAATGGAAGGGGTTGTTTGACCGGGTCGCATGCATTAAGCGTTGGTGGAATTCATTACCGGTTCTTGGAACCTCCTTCCGCCATTGATCTTCTTTTATTATGCGGAATAATTGCAAACTAATTCTTAACTTAGACGACACAAATTATAATAATATTATATATATATATATATATATATATACACACACACTTTTGTAACATAAGACTATTAAATATGTCATTATAGTTAATATTAAACTGTAATAAATTTAACACTCCTTTAAATATGAGTATTTTAATTAAAAAAAGCTTTTATTGTCGGGCTTTTATCTAATGGTCTCATAATTGGTTTTTATGTGAGAGCGATCCTTTTTCGTCGTTTTAATGAAAATACCTTTCGTCACAGCCGTCGTCCCTGACCTCCGACACACCGCCGCCACCACCTCCTCCGTGACTTTCCACTTTCCCACAGCTTCTAGCGTCGCCGCCACCACCCCGCCCTTCACCAACTAACCCCCTCCATCTTCGACACGGCCTCTGTGCAGCCCCTCCACGACCTCCGGCTCCCTCCTCTGTCTTCCAACGCCAACGCCACTGCCCATTGGGTGACCGATGGCCTTGGCATAGTAGAAAATATCATTGTAGAGGGACTTGGGTGCCAAAGAATACTGTTGTGGTTTGCCAGTATGTTGGTGGTGATCATGAAAATATTCAGATGCTTGGCAGCCATGAGCATGAACAAATGCTACTGGTGTCTATTATAGTGAAGCCAAAACCTGCAAAAACAGAAGATGGATCGAACGAGTCATCGCAGAACCCTTATTTATTGGCTCACAGTTCTTAGGGAAGAGGATCTCCAACTTGTTATTATTAATGTGTAGATCGATGATGGCAGTGTAAGTCTGAAGAGCTTTTAAAAGGTTAGTACAAGACTTATCGTTGGCCTTAATAGAGATGATATTAGATAGGTGATCTTAAAGCCTCGGATATAGAAATGGGGTATCTTTTTTCTGATGACTCGATCATTAAGGATGTTGATGAGAATTTAGGACGCGGGATAGGAGGTCACCTTGTCTGATCCCCTTACTGGAATCCAGTAAACCATTCTGTAGGATAGTTGTTAACGATGCATAGAACAAATGGGTTGAAATGTAGGATAAAAGTCAATCAGCGAAGCCGGAGGGAAATATGATAAAAGCTTTGGCTTGATAGGGATGAGAGGGATTTACCGTTGGTGTTAAACATAAAGTGAGAGAGTTCATATGCAATGGTGATGTTGTCATTGTCATGAATGAAGAGACCGGGGATGAATGTAGATTGGTTTTGGGTTATAAGTTTGAAAAGAGAGTTCATAGCTAGCACTTTACCAAGATGAGTAAAAATATGAGAATGACCAAAGTGGCTATTACATAGGTATAGCAAGAGCTCAAGAAATCGATATCGGTGAGATTATAGTTATAAATAAAATCTCTAAATGCAATCGTAAAAGAACTTGGTGAAAACTGTTTGCCACCATATTTCTCAAAAGCTAAAAGAGTATAGTTGTAATCACTGTATAACATCTAGGGGATATCAGGAAATTGAAGATCGAAGAGATACTTCCAAAGAGAGTTTCGAAGACTAGCTTTAGTATTAGCATAAATAGTCAATAGAAGCTAGGGAGGCAAAACTTATTATTTTATTATTAAATGAATAGCTTGTTAATATGTACTGATGGTATACAATTTGATGATATCGTAAGTGTTGAATCTCGGATTTTGATGATGAAATCAATTGGTAAATTGTTTGATCTAATCTGTGTTGAGATAAGTGTGCAGGATTAACTACGATAATAGTAAAACATAAATCAGATAATGAACCGGAGTCGAAGATACATACGATATACCAGAAGTGTGTCGAGAGCTCACCGAGATTTCGTCGGAAGATCACCGAGAGTTCGTCGGGAGTTCACTGAGGGTTTGTCAGGAGTTCGCCGAAAAACTCGTCAAGAAGTTGATCGGAGGATCGTCGAGAAGTTGATCGGAGGATCGCCGAGAGAAAACTCAACATACCAAACAGAGATTGCTTGCCTTAATTGTAGTTAGTACATTAGTAGAGTTAGGATTGAGAGGTAATCTCACTAACTTAGTTAGGAGCCAATTGGGCCCTTAATAGGGCTGAATTAGGTCGGTTGAACAGCCCATTCAGCACCTGAAGTCACGGTCGATGGTGGCATCGCTTGGGGCTCGATCTCCTAAATATTCTAGGTGGTGGTACTGTCGATAATTAATGCTGCCAGACGGTGGTACCACCTAGTGTCAGCTTATAGGTGATAGTACCGCCCAATAATGGTGGTGGTACCGTTAGTACCCCGAAATCCAGAGATGTGATACTTTTTTGCCCCAATTTCGAAGCCACTAGGGCCTATAAATATCCCACCCTGTATAAAAGTGCATGAAAGTGTGAATATACTCTTAAATTATTGGGGTGCTAAAAGTGTTGTAAAAGTACAAAGAGTCCTCCTCTCTTTCTAAGTGGTGAGATCATTCAAGAGATGTATGAGGCTTGTAAGGGTTATCTCCTAAACCTGTGAAAAGGATAAAGCATTGTAAAGAGGTGGTTGGTCTTCACATATTGAAGGAAGACTATCAGTGGATGCTGGTGACCTCGATGGAAGAGGAATCAGAAGTAGATGTAGGTCACAATGACCACTATAAATTTTGGTATGCTCATTTTCATTTTGCTTTTCATCACTATCATTACTTTCTTAGATAACTACTAGTTCTTTCATTCTAAAGTCAAGCACTTTTTGAAATCGATTTTCGACAAACGAAATATTTTACAAACCGATGATTTTCTCTGCTGCACTAATTCACCCCCCCCCTCTTAGTGCCGCTCTTGATCCTAACAATTGATATCAGAGCCCGGTCACTCTCATTTGGTTTGAAACCCAAGAGAGATAGTAGTTGCCGGCAATCAAGAGGGTCATTCAATTACACGTCCTCCCATGTTCAATGGGACATATTACACATATTGGAAGATGAGAATGAGGATCTTTCTAATTTCAATGGATTTTGAATTATGGAACCTTGTGAAAAATGGTTTTCAAAAGTCTTCTCTTCCAATGAATAATTGGAATGAGTTGGAGAAGAAGACTTTCGCTTTAAACGTCAAGGCTGTGAATGCCTTGTTTTATGCTTTAGATAAAAACGAATTCAATCGAGTGTCTATTTGTGAAATGACTTTTGATATTTGGCGCACACTCGAAATCACTCACGAAGGCACTAGTAGAGTAAAGGAGTCAAAAATAAATATTTTAGTTCATACTTATGAATTGTTTTGGATGAAGCCAAGTGAAACTATTGTCGATATGTACACCCGTTTTATGGATGTCGTCAATAGTTTAAAAGCTCTTAGCAAATATTTTTCGAACTTTGAACTTGATAATAAAATCTTGAGATTTCTTCCAAATAGTTGGGACCCTAAAGTAACGACCATTCAAGACGTCAAGGATTTAAATAATTTTCCTCTCGAAGAACTTATTGGGTCACTAATGACCTACGAAATGATTTATAACGCTCATGAAGAGCTTGAGAACAACCCAGGAAAGATATAGCACTAACAACTCATGAAGACCACTTGAAAGAAAATTCAAGTGATGAGGACTTTGATGATGACTTAACACTCTTGACAAAAAAGTTTAAAAAGTTCATAAAAAGGAATAAATTTAAAAATGACACTAAAAATAAAATCAAACCCAAGAAAGAACAAGTAATATGCTACGAATGTAAAAAGCCGGGACATTTCAAAAGAATGTCCCCAAGCAAAGAAGCAGTAACCAAAGAAGAAGAAGGCTCTTAAAGCAACTTGGGACAACTCAAGTGCATTTGAAGAAGAGGAGCCAACCAATACAGAGCAAGTTGTTCACTATGCACTAATGACTATCGGAGATGAGGCAAGTAGTTCGTTAGATACAAATTTATTTTTCGACGAGCTTTTAAGTACTTTCATGAATTGTTTGATGAATATAGATTTTTGAGAAAAAAGTATAACTCTTTGAAAAAGGATCATGCCATTTTAAATGTTGAATTTAAAAAACTTAAGCATGACAATCCTTCTTTGCCTCTACGTACTAAGTATGAACACTTAAGAAGGAAAACTTGCTACTCAAAGAAACATTAGAAAAGTTTGAGATTGGCAGCAAGTCTTTGAACATGATCCTTGCTAATAAGGGTCATATTCATAGAAGAGGCAGAATCAGATTTGTGAGTAGCTCTTATCAAAATCCAACTACCTTTATTAAAGGCTCTACCTTGCATATATCACCCCACACCAAATGTAACTTTTGTTACAAACTTGTACATGTTATCTATAAATGTCCACTTAAGAGATATAGTCCATACAAATTAATTTGAGTTCCTAAAGAAATCATAAAAAACTCTATGCAAAACGATAAGTTGAGTAGATCGATTTTTGAGGTACCCAAGGTCAAATGGCTACCTAAAAATTACCATCTTTTGTAGAAATGTTTACTATCACAAGCCAGAGCAAGAGATAGTACCTTGATAGTGGATGCTTAAGGCACATGACTGGAGATTCATCTCAATTCTATAAGTTTACTAGTCTAGACGAAGGGGATGTCATATTCGGAGACAACAACAATGGTAAATTCATTGGCAAAGGAACCATACGTAACAAATCTAACTTTTTGATTAAAGATATATTATTGGTTGATGGCTTAAAGCATAAACTTGTGAGCATTAATCAATTATGTGATAAAGGATACATCATTAGGTTTGAATCCAATGCTTGCATTATTGATAAACTATACAAAAATACATCTATGATTGCCCT